TGCCAGCAAATGTTAGTGAATTTAGTGAAAAACAGAGGACTTTGAAAGAAATCCAGGAATCTTGCCAGGAAAATTAGTTAGAAACTGCACCTGAGGATGCTTGAATGGTAGGGCTTAGAAGGAGACAGGAGGAGGAGCTAAGACTGGGAATCTAGAGAGGCAGCATTACTTAGTGTTTAGAATTGGAATCTGGAAAACTGAATTTTGTGTCTGATTCTGTCACTGATTTACTGTATGACATTAGGCGAGTTACATTATTATTAAGGCTATGTTTTAACCATGGGTATTTTTAGTAAAAGTCATGGACAGGTCAGGTGCAGTAAACAAAACTTTATGGCCCGTGACCTGTCAATGACTAAATCTTGGGTGCTGGGGTGTGTGCGTGTGTCTGTGTGCGTGTGCGCGCAGGGTCTGGGGTGCCGCAGGTGCTGGGGAAAAGGGACCAGGTGGCGGCGCGCATGCCGGGACCGCCGCGGGTGCTGGGGAGAGGGGGCTGGGCGGCGACACGCTTTGGCCCTAGACTGCCTCAGCAGCAGCTGCTCAGGTAGCCCTGGGGCCAGCCATCCCAGCTGCTGCAGAAGTCATGGACTTCCTGGAAAGTCATGGAATCGGTGACCTCCATGACAGACTCGCAGCCTTAATTATTATGTATGTATGTTTGTAGTCCAGTAGTGTTACATTGTGCTAAGTGCTATCCAGTTTTCTCTAGCTATAAAATGTGCCTACAAATTACTGATCTCTGTAAAGTTTTTTGAGGTTCTCTGAAAGCTATAATAAGTGCAAAGTATTATCATAGTATTTAACAACTTCCCTTGGTGAGGAAACAGAAGAGATGGGGAAGGGAGCGAGAATCATAGTACTGGATAGATTTCTCCCCCCCCCCCCTCAAGTTAACCGCCGGCAATACTATTTCTGTTAATGATCCCATTCCTCTTTGAAAAGAATATAGTCTATACATCTTGTGGAAAACTCATGACACTGTGAAAAATAGAAGATACTCTACATAAACAAGTTATCAAAGTGCTGTATCCCAGAATTCCAATCTTGTTCTTTGAGGTTAGTCACTTTGCTATTCCAAATTGCACAGCTGTAGACTTTGTTGGCTGAATGCCTATTTGCTCTCTCTGAAGTTTTCCATAAACACCGTTGCTGGCTTTGTGTCAAACATGAACACAGGTGCCCTTTTACTGCTCCTTCTCCTCGGGAAGTCCAGTCAATTAGTCCAAGGCAAGGCCATAGATTACATTTTATTCTTTTCATCTTAGAAAAAGCCATGGTCAAAACCTGATTGCTATACTAAGTAATTTCAAGCCAGTAAGATGGGGTCTGGGAACTGTATGTAAATTCAGTTTACTAATATTGTGGAAAATTTGAACTTTATATAAACTGTGTGTACATTTTTGTGTTGGATCCACATTACTCCACACTTTAGTAACTTCAGTGTTCTCTTTTCTGAGACTTTTTCCTGATCTTTGATTGGTTGGACTTTCAAAATGGAGCAGTGTCTCTTAGTAGAGATAGATAGGGTTAAGGGTCATTTTTTGCCAAATCCTTAATACTTATCAGCGTCCTTAGTCCTTGTAGTCTGTCACTGCCTATTGACTGGCTTGTTTGTGTTGTCCGGGTACATGGAGACTTAAGCAAGGTTGTGGTGTGTTCCCTTTACTGTTTAATTGAGGAGTGTGGCACTAAAGCAGTCGCATAATGTGACCCTCTAGACCTGCTTTTACAGATGCTTGGAAAGATACCAATACCAGAATTCTAAAGATTATGCTTTTCTCCATTATATATAACATTTACCCCTGAACCCACTTTCCTCATCCCTAAAACATATTACTGCACTAGAAATTCAAGACTGTAAAATCATCACCTCCTTTCTCCAAGGTCATTCAAGTGTCATCCTGTCCCTGCAAGCAGCCCTAAAACATACCAGATCATGCCTTGTCAACTCTCTTAGGTGTTGTGCATTTCGAGCAATGTTAGAAATAGATTTTTTGATTTCTCGTAAATTAATAATGGAGAACTTAACATCAGTAATGCTATGTCAGTATTTGAAAACAAAACCGTTGCCTTTCTTAAAGCAATGGGCAGGAAAACTGTAATTTCCTTGACTATAGTTTTAATCAAGAGGGGCTAAAACCACTAGAACGATAAATATGGATACATATATGCAAATATTTTCAAAATCTATTATGAACATAACAGAGCATATAGCCCATTAGTACCAATTAAAAATGGTGCAATTAAGAGCAATCCTCAAAACATTACACTCAATGCTGAATACAGTAACCATCATATGGAAGAAACTGCATCCTTTCTGAATTATTATAGTAAACTTTGCTGTGTTTGGGAGGAATGTCCTGATCTCATCATGAAATTGGTTTGACCAGCTAAATTAATCTTACTGAATACCAGGCAGCAGCTTTATATGGAACTGTTGTAAGCAGGGGAACTAGAAAATGTAATTAAATCCCCTTTAAAACAAAATACCCTGAATCCCTGTCATAAGGTTTTGTGTGAACCTGCCCTTGTGGAATAAATATAATACCCCTTGCAGAGGGGACTTGGATAACCTAAGAAGGGCTTTAACTCTTCACTGAAACCACAAACTGAAGATGTTCCTCTGTCACTGGTTGCAGAATTGGCATGGCAGTTAAGAGTCAAAGATGAATTCTTTGTGATTTAAAGTCTTACCTTTTGCTCCTTCCTCCACTATCATCTTATATTTTTTAAAGAATGGCTTCAGAAAGTAACTAGAGAAGAATTTTATTTGTGTCAAAAGACACACTAACTAGGAAGTCTGATAAGCCATTAAAATTGTATAGGCTCTGCACTTGCCAACTAGGCCCTGTTATCAGTAATCCCCTGTGGTTTACCTGTCGTCGTCTGCAATCCCTTAAGGTCGAGGATGATCTCTTTCACAGGTTTTATTTTTCATGGGTCCTTTGGTGTCTGAAGAGTCTGATTCTTGAGCCATAGGCTCGTTGGCAGATATTGCAAGTTGAGTTGGAAGACAGGGTTGGGCTGCGATTGCTGCGTGACCGTTGTCTTTCCTTTTCTGGCGTTTTTCTGTGACCAGGGCAAGGCGATTTTCTTCAAAAGTGGACGTTCCCTCTCTGACAAGTCTTCACCAGTTATCCCTATCCTGGGCTGCTGTCTCTCAGTGTGCAGTGTCAATCTCTTGATGTTTACCTTGAGGGTGCCTTTAAAGCGTTTCTTTTGGCTGCCTCATTTCCTTTTTCCTTTGGTGAGTTGGGCATACAGCAGTTGTTTTGGTAAACGTACATCAGGCATGCGCATACAGTGCCCGCTCCACCTCAGCTTGTGCTGAATAATCAGGGCCTCAACACTGAAGATATTGGCCTCTGTGAGGACACTGACATTAGTGCGATGATTCTTCCACTTTATTGAGGATCTTCTGAAGAAAGTGTTGGTGCTGGCGTTCCAGGTTTTTCAGGTTTCAGAGTAGCAGCCGTGTTAGTCTGTATCCGCAAAAAGAACAGGAGTACTTGTGGCACCTTAGAGACTAACAAATTTATTAGAGCATAAGCTTTCGTGGGCTACAACCCACTTCTTCGGATGCATCCGAAGAAGTGGG